TAAAAATTATACTGATAATACAATTTTTATTTGGGATTGCGGATCAAAAATTTGTTTTAACGGTACAATACGAAGTGTATGGTTACCTAAGGAATGAAATGGTGAATACATATATGTTCTTCTGATTGGTCATATTTCCACACGACATTTTGTATGATCAAAATCATAAAGAGCTGTTAGAATGATCATACTAAAACTAGCTATTAGAATGATGACTTTCACATCGTAACCAAAATTTTTATGTGTTATTAGCTTAACTATGGGTGTTCTCAAGTAGTATACAGTACTGTTATGGTGATGACCAACACCCCCTGTACTCGGATTGCTAGAGTAAGGGTATGATCGGTTACCCGATTATACCTGGGATTTGCATAAATAGCGTGATCGGTGAAGCATGATGTGATAGTAAATCACGTGATCGAAAAGAGAAACAGCCACACGACTGCCTCATCCCCAGCCTCGGTATGCCTGCACATGTGAAGATCAAACGGCGTGAGAAGTTCACACGCATACATGGACAGCACATGCCAGTGACATATGCATTGGCGTAAGGCAAGCAAGAAATGAACAGGCGTGAATGAGTCAGTGTATGTATAAGAGCCAAAGGCAGCGAAAATTGATCGGTCAGTGCTTGGGCCAAAAAAACTGCTTTCGCGACCCACCCAACCCACTCCTAGATAAGGAACACGTGATTCTATTATTTCTTCGCTCAGCCTTGCTGCGACGAGCGGGAAATCATCGGCTGTTTCCACGGCGACCCCCAGTGCAATCATGATTGCTACTTTCGCGGGTGGTCTTTGCCGTTCCTGCCAACTCGGCCATTTTCTCATCTTGCTATTCATTTATTCTGCTGACTTTTCAATAAAATCTCATCCCACCCATGTCTTTTTCAGACTTCTCCAACTTATGCCCTATATTTGATTAATCGATAATTGATCCACCTATAGTTCTTGAATCAGATTTGATCTTTAGATTATCAATCTTTAAAGATGGATATACATAATTAAAAGTCAGATTTGTTGAATAATTTAAAGATTATTCTATTAAATGCAAATATTTATTGTTGAATTGACAGTTTGAGTTTGACACTATTTACTGAAATGGGATACACATTTTGGTTTTGATTATGAACCCGATCTAGGTAGAAATATCGATTCCAAACCCAAACTAAGTAGAAATGCCGTAACTAAAAAAAAAGTTTGGGTCGCAACTCTAACCATAGAGGCTCCATTATTAGTAAAAAAATAGTTTAACTGCTCAAATGAATCAAATGAATTTGTTGTTATGATGAAAACATTGAATTTATTTATATTATTATTATAATAATCATCTATCAAAATATTTGAAATGATTTATTTATTTCATTAAACTTTTTACGTCTAAGAATATCACTAATTAATCTTGATTTGTTTTTTGCATAAGTTATTTCTATTCATTTATTTGTAATTCAATAGTTATTATGATATTAATATATTTTAATATTATTTTATTTAAGGGTAGGGTGAACGATTTCCATTTTTAGTAGTAATACTTAACAAATATAGTAAAAATTGATTTTCATATGTTTTTACTATTTAATTTGCCTAGGTAGAACAATATAAATAACATATGATCATCACCTGATTTCAATTGAATGTTGTAAAAAAAATTTAGCAATTAGAAATGTAGATCCTTCAGATATTTATTAATTAAAATATTAATTGGCTATTTATTAGTCTTAAAATTTGATGTTATTTAACAGGGGCGCCACCAGCGCCCCGTTCTATTCTTGTATTATTATGAGAAAGGTCGCTTCACTAATACATATACAACCTATGCTTTATGCGGTTTCGTTCGTTGTTATTAAATTATCGCTAGTAATTATAATGTTTTATAAAATATAAAAAAAAAAAAACATAATAAATTTATAATAATAATATTTTGAATTTTTTTTTATAGTTTTTATAAGGATATTTGGCCAGCTTTTAAGTGCGTATTTTAGAGGGAGTAGGTGTACTTAGACTTTTAGTAGCCGTTACTTGTCCATTTGCACAACAGACAGCAGGATTTCCATCACTTCGTATTGTACCGTTAAAACAAATTTTTGATCCGCAATCCCAAATAAAAATTGTATTATCAGTATAATTTTTA